CTTTTTAATAACAGAATTTTGAATTAGTTATTTATCTTAGTGACTTAGTAACTTCAGATTTACAGTATGTGCTGCTTTTTTATACTAAAGGTCAAAATGCCCATTGGCTTTTGATTACTTCATATGTTGAAGAAAGTATATTTTGTTTATTGAAAATACTGGAAAAGCATAAAGGAAAAACTATTTTGAATTGTCATAAAATATTTGATTTTTAGAAAAGAAAATGAAATCCAAAGTTAATGGTAGTTAAAAAGAACTTGGGTCTTTTAAAATTTCATCTTGCAGTGTTTAATGCCTGTACCAGGGAAGGCAAAGCAGTTTTGCTTATTTTCACAGTGATAGCCCCAGGCTGATCTTAGGCTACTGCTGTTCACAGAACACCACCCATCTTTACCTAGGCACTCTGCCTTATTAGTAAAGATTACAACTCCAAGGTGAGGAGCAATTCTTTAAAGAGCTTGTTCTTTAAAAGGGAAATGTTGTTTTTACGTCCTGTAATATAAAATCATGTGCCATTTGGGATTTTTAAATAGCTGAGGGTATCACGATGACTTTGGCTGCAGGTAGCAGAACCTCTGCTGATTGAAACAATAACATAATAGTAAGTCCCAAGGAAGAATGGTTCAAGGAGTGCTTCATCCAAAGGCCCAACAATGTCATCAAAGACCCAAATAATTTCTGTCTCCTTTGCTATCCTTAATGTTGACCTTTTCCTCAGCTGGCTCTAGATGGGAACCAGAAGAGGGTGTTGAAGTTAGCAGTGTGTGGATTTTAAGAAACGTAGCTGGTGTAATGCCACAATTTAGTGGAAATGTGATATTAATGAGCTTCTAGGTTTGATCACAGTCAATGTAGAAAGGCATGTTTGTCCCTTACTTCATCGGTTCCTCATGAAAGAATGACAGAGGTTGTTGAGGCAGTGGTATTGACTCAAACCCATTTGAATTGTTGGAAAAACCGTTTACAGAAAGACTTCATTACTTCGGTGAAAAATATTTAATGTGTATTGCGTGCCAGCTATTGTGATAGTTACTGGGGTATTCAGTAATGAATGAAATAGGGTCCCTGTTCTCAAAGATGCTTTCGTAAGAGTTAGTAGAGAGAAGTTAACATGTAAACAAGGAACTTTAGAGGTAAGCGTTAGAGATTTGGTGACCAAAAGTATACTTAGGACATAAGAGGGGCATATAAGAGGGCTTGGTCAGCTCTTTCTTAGCAGAGGGGAGTGTTTCAGCAGGAAATTTTTAGAGAAGATAACTTAGAGGTAGAGGCATAAAAGATGTTGGGGATTAGGGAGAGTTTAGCAGCCCTGAAGGCAGACGAGCTGAAAAAATCGAACCAGTAGGGTGAGTGGGATTGTGGCAGTCATTTCTTTTACACAAACTAGTGTGACTTGTGACCCTTCTTGCCAGTTGGATTTGTGGAAGATAAGGGACCTGACCAGAGAAATCCTTCTAAAAAGATCCTCGGAAGGATCATTTAACCTGATGGTTGGGGAAGGTGGCAGGTCCAAATGAATGGGCTTGAACAGTCTGGTGAGTGTCAGCATGGCACATGGCTCAAGTGTCTGTGACATGGCTAGAGGAACAGGTGGATAGCCGTCATCTTCAAGGTGACTGTAGAACTGTGGGAGTGGATAAGATGGCCAGGTCAGACAGGAACAAAGAAAGCCAGGGCGCCATTGGGAGAGAACGGACTAGAGGAGATCAAGCTAGAGTTTTCCAAAGGGGAGGCAGCCAAGCAGTAGTGACCACACAGAAATCATGAAAGCAGAATGGACATTGAAAGACAAGCACAATGTAGTCTCTACTTAGTATGTTGTTTATAATTAATGTGGCTTTCAATTTTTTCCATCTGGAATTTTTCAATATCGTGATTTTAATGAAATCTGGTAGTTATTTATGAAAATCTGTGTAGTTTGTGGTATATCACGAATTTCTTAAAAGGAAATGCTTATCAATTTATTTGATTTTTTTCCTACATGTAACATTATGAACTTTGAGTTTTTTAGTAGGCTTAGTTTTATGAGCTATCTAATGCAAAATGAAAGTTGCATATAAATTCTGGATTGCCATCTCTAAATTGTACAGAGAAAATTTCAGTCTTAGCTATTTTCAGTATTTAGCTGTGGCTAAATAAGTGAGGTAGTTCAATTAAACATTTGTCAAATATCAATTGAATATGCTTTATTAATACTCTTTTTTCCTTTAGGAGCATGTCTTCTGGGTGGTGTCTTTAAATACACTGTTCATTCTTGTTTTTGGTAAGTCGTGTTTGTGCTTTTATTTTTTATAGTATTATGGTAGGAGTTTAGTTTTCTAGGAGCCTTGTTAAAGGTTTTTGTTTTGTTTTTAGCATAGGAATATTAAGGAATATATGAAAATAGTTTTTGATAGGAATCCTATATAGGAAGGCCCCAGACAGACATACAGATACTCTCCTGCGCAACCCTGACTGCAGTTACCTACCTGTTTCTGCTTCTTTTGGTCATTTCCATCTCTTGTTGTAAAAGCTGGTTTTAGACTAACTTGAGAATATACAGTATCCCACCTCCAGAATTAATTTTGTGCTGATTATCTGTGTGCTCTTCCCTGTTGCAGAAGATCTTGTTTTCGCTGGTCAAATACCTGACCATGACCTTCCAGAGACACTGGCTTGTCACCAGAGATGGATGTGGCCTTGTAGGGAGATAGTAAATCTTCCCCAAGTGTGAACTCCCCTTAGAACCGGATTCCAGCACATGCAAAATCACTTCCAAACACTTTTCCAAGTGCAGCTCTGAGAATTCTCTGACATTACTCCATAGTCCCTCCCACAGGAAGTAATTAGGGAAAGCAAGGCATGGTTTGTGGAAATGGAGTTGACAGAGGTTTTTCTGCTGTGGGGGAAAGATAAGGTAAACTAATAAAGTAAACCAAGGCCTTAGAATTCTATTCCTGCCTTTCTCAGGGGAGGGGGGGAGTCTAACAGAATAGGGTTATTGTTAGCTGTGCTATGTTTTGTTATCTCAGAGACCTCAGGCAACATATAACATATCTCTGTATAGAGTTGGTCTTTGAAAAATTCCTTCTTTAGTGCCTGTGAGTTACCCTCAGCTCTGCTGAAGAGAAGGGGTAAAGATTTCTCAAGGCTTCTTCCACCAAACTCCAAGTTATTTGCTCTCTGTTGGGACTACAGAAAGCGGTTGTCTTTAACAGGGAACCATATGATCAAACAGGCTTGGGATATTTGGATTGAGGATGAGACAAAAAAGGTGATTTCTATATATTATCTATAAAAGAACAAAAGAAATTTACATGTATCTTGTTGCAACAAATATTTTGGAAAACTTACATTGATTCTTAATTTTTAGTAGATATTTAGGATGCTGCAAATTTAGTAGAAAGCTCATTCTTTGTTTCCCTTTGCATGTGGGAGTGTCTGTATATTGTTCTGCATTTATTTTTCCTTATGTATAATAATTCATATGGAGACTGTAAAACCGTTTTTATCTTGACCAAGTTTTTTTTGAGAGAAAAAATGGTCTATAGAATTTACTCTTGCAGAAAAGCTTAACGCTAAATTAATCTTTGGAGAAACAGGTCACCTTTAAAACGTGAATTATACAGATAACTTTCATTTATAGAAATCAAATCTCATCTAAGTAAATTTATTTCTAATCCAACCTCCTAGGCTTATACTATGAAAAAAATTTATCTTAATTAATTTATGCACATTATATAGTTAGGATCTTTTGAAATGAAACAAGTTTTCTTCCTTTAGGAAGATACTTCTAGTCATTGGGATTAAGCACACTCATGTCTCTTTTGTGCATATGTTGCTCTATTGGCAGTGTGCTTACAGCATTTTTTGGCTGTCTTGGTCACATACTTTTGCAGAAATATAACCTTACAAAGCTCTGGTCTCCCAGTAGAAGGGAATGATCCTGAGAAACTGATCTTAATTTCAGGATGCCTTTCTAGTAGTTGCTGTGTAATGTGGTGGAAATTGATGGTTGCAACTGGTGTTTAAGGATAAGAATTACATTTGTAAATAGAATTAAAACTTGAAAATTTTGCCCTCTCCCAGGGGCCTAAGTTGAGTCATCCTCAGAATAGGATATGAGAACAAAATAGGCAAAATTCTACATGAAGTATTTTCTTACCCCTTTAAATTTCTTGTTCTTTATAGTACACATAATATGTTAGTAAAAGAATACATGTACATAGTTTATAAATAAATTTAAATATTTTGGGAATACATGTTCAAAAAAATTTCTACCTGTGGAGTAGTCAAAAAAGTTGAGGCCATATCCATAATAGGTTCACTCTAAATTTTGTCTTAATAATGGAGCTACCCCTTTCCCTAATAATCTACTATGCGATTTAATCATTTCAACTATAAAGAAAAGATACTTAGATTGTATTATTAAGAATAAAGTAAAATTTGGCCAGAGAGATTTGAGCAAAAGAGACTACAAAAATTCTTACTATGCAAATTTTAAGGATATTTTCTAACTTAATTATAACATCATTATTCTACCTTATAAAATTACCAGAATTTTTTTAGTATTTCCTAATAATGCATCGTATTTAAAATTCCTAGGCTGTCCTCTTAGCTGCCATTTTGCATATGATTTGATTGATCGAATATCCAAAAAAGGTCCACACATTACTTTTAGTTGTTAAGTCTTAAGTATTTTTTTAAATCTAGAATACTCTTTTTTTTCCCCCAACCCCCACCCTATATTTCCATTGATTGTTGTTGAGATGAGGTTAACTGTTCTTGACAGTGTGTCATGTTCTACATCTGTCCGACTGCTTTTTTGGATGTCCTCTGCTTTCATCCTTTGTCTCCCATGTTTCCTGTAAACCGGAAGTCCGATCTAAGGGCATAATTAGATTCAGCTTCAATGTTTGGGGCAGATTCTTCACTGGTCACTTTGCCTCTTGATACAGCATATGAGAAGGTATATGATGTTGGATTATCCAGTTTTATCAGTGGATTCAGTTGATAAGCTGAGCCTCTGTCATAGATTTCATTTTTCCCTTTACCATCAGAAAGTGATCTAGGGGGCTATGATATTTTAGTGCTGTGGAAATATACAGTGTCCCATCAACCTTCCATCCAGTGATTTTATTAGCCCTTGATGATCCTTGCCTGAATCATTTATTTTATTAGATATGGCAAAATGATAATTTTTAAATTGTCCTTTTTTACGGTTATTAGCTGGCTTTTCTATAAAGAAGAAGAAGAAATGCTTATCAGCTAGGACTATTCAGTTAACCTGAACTTGTTTGCCCAGGTGATGCAGGACAGATGCTTAATTTTTTTCTTTTAATTATCAGTTTTCAGAGTAAGGAGTTGGTGCATTAACTTCTTCCACTGATGTGCTAACTACTTTCAAAACATGAAAGTGTTTTCTGTGATGTTGCTTTTTTCTTTTGTAGTTATTGTTTTAGGCTTTCCCTTTTTTGAGCATTTTAAGCTAATGGGCTTGTATGTGTTCAGTGTTTTTCCATTGGTTTTGGTCATTATTATTTTTGATGCTCATATCATCGTCTCTTTGGCCTGTGGCACTCTCTTCACAATGGTTTCTGTGTCCGTTTGACATGGTCATATTAGACCTTGATAACTTTGTTGTTCTCTGGGTATAGAGAATACCCCAGGGGACATATTTTTGGCCCAGTTCTGGAGTCTTAACCATTTCTCCCAGAATTCCTGGTTCCTTTTAGCAGGGGATTGTACTAGGAGAGTTCATTGTATTGATATTAAAGTTTTCATTGAGTTTTTTCCCCCCTTTTAGCATTTTGCCCATACCACATTGGTCATTTCTCCCTTGTTGGTTTGGGATTTGAAGAACACGTGAGTATAATACTTTTACAAACTTAATTTTGTTAATTACCCCCAAATTTGATATTTGCTGAGTAAATAATAATATTGTAAAGAGTTACTTCATTTCTCGGTCTGCCTTATTCAAAGGAATAGCTAGCCAACACTCATCTCATTCTTTTAAAAATAACAATGGCTCAAGAGATAGTGGTCATGGTGCCAGCTAATGAAGATGTAATCGGAAATCCCATGATGCACTTTCTGTTAGGTGGGCGCAAGGCCTACTGCAGGAAAAGTTCCCACAGGCTGATTTTCCACCTGCTCTACAAACTTGTGTGTCCCCTTTTCTCCCCTTCCCAGATATCCCATAGTAAATTTAGAAAAGTAACAATTTAACAATCAATTTTTAAAAAAGGAATAGACTATCTTGGAATGATGAGCTATAGTGTTTCTAAATAATTTGCTTGTAATTATTTGCAAGTAATTCCTGTTATGTTTTGACATTTTATCGTTATTTTCCAGAGATAGATAAATTTTTAGATGGATGATTGCTCCTCCGTTGGAGCCCTGAAAGGATTTAGTGTTTTAAGGAAGAGCTGGCTAAGTGGGATCTTCTGTTTACTTTGTGTATAGGAGTCCTGAGAGATCACATTCTAAAATGTTCTGATATTTAATCCGTTTCTCTGATTCTCAACTAGTTGAAGGCAAGAACTTGAAAGGTTCAGATAAATGTTTTGATAAATTTTGACTTTCCAAACTAATTGCCACTTGCTATCTGGAACTCAGGAACCAAATAATGCAGATGGGCAGTACTTGTTACTATCTAAACTTTTACCATCTATAAGTTAAGAATGGAACAGATTTGGAGAGCAAGGGAAACTTAAGTAGTTAAAATTCTCCTGGTAGGAAAGGAGGTGGCTAGGATGTTATCCAACAGATGGGCGACTGGGGCATATGCTGCTGCTCTAGCAAATCTGCCTTAGAGTGAGACTGGAGAGCAGGCCATTGTATTGCAGTCTTCTTATTTTTGTAAAATTTAATTCACTTTACTGTTCTTTTGTCTTTTTGGGGGAAAATGTTATTTTTTAATTTTTTCATTTTTTAGTAATACATAACAGTCAATGGGAGAGTCTGGTTTTCAGAGAAGTCATCCAAAGGGGATTTTACAGTTATTTTCTCGTTATAAATTGTCTAGACAGTTCACTTTTAGTTATTTGGATTGTTTAATACATTGGGAAAACTGGGATGTAGGCCATGTGGTAAAATTAAATTTTATTTTATTTTTTCTTATTTCCAGGTCCAAGCATCTCATTTTGAAGGCCTAATCACAACCATAGTTGGGTATATACTTTTAGCAATAACACTGATCGTTTGTCATGTATCCTTTAATGAACCAACTTGAGTATTCAGTAATATACATACTGAAGATTTGTTCTCATTAATGGCGAAACTTTCTCTCTCTTTGTTGTCTTAGTAAAAGTTGTAGAGTGTGAGTGTGAACAAAATATGAAGTAAAGTATTCTGTCTGTCCAAAAATATTAAGTAGTTACCTGTTTCATTGTACCTTTAAATGCTCAGTTTTTCCTTGACTAGATGCTGTAGGGTTTGGCAACTCTTGTTAAATTTCATAGGTCTCGTCGCTTACTGGGAGTCTGCTATATTGTTGTTAAGGTAATTCCTGTTACAAGTTAAAACTGGAAATGATTTCTGCTACATTTGGATTATACTGATAACCTTTATTTTCACTTAAGGTTTCTTTGTTAGTGGTGGTAGAAATTGGAGTATTCCCTCTCATTTGTGGCTGGTGGCTGGATATCTGTTCCCTGGTAAGTTGAGTATTTATTATCATACAATCTCACAATTTCAAAGCTTCAAAAGAAGTGTTTAGGATGAGTTCCTTTTAAAGGAAATTAAATATTTGATAATTTGCATATTGTTTCTGAAAATATATCACTGTAGAATCTTAATGTTGTTAATTTTTTCTTGAGTGCCTGATTTTTTTGAGGCTTTGTGCAAATTTTTGACATCAGGGTATTTTGACTGGAACTTTTCTAATAACCAGTGAACTTTATTACTCATTTTGTTCTAAATTTTACGATAATGCCAAGACATTATATTGGGTGTGTGTATGTGTGTACACACACACACATAATAAGGAGTAATTTGATAATGAGACTGTCTTTGAAATAATAAATTCAATCTTAACAATTTGTTTTAAGAAAGATGCTCAGCCTTGATTATAATCTTTAATGGCTATTACTGATTATCAGTTTTGATTTTTCAAAAATATTTTATATGTAGAAAAGCTGCCTTTGGTTCTGAGATAGCATTTACCTCCATACCCTAATATTAAAACTCCTCAAGAGTACAGATCTGTAACCAAGAACAGAAGTTCTTACATTAATCAAAAATGGTTCTTTCACAGAATTAGCATTAGTAAAACTCTATTCACCAATTGGTTTGTCATTTATATTTGAAAATTTAAAAATGGTATATACCCCTTTGAGCACTTGTTTACCTGGTGTCTATTATAGCCAACCTCTGATACAAACTTTCGGAATTTTGTGAGATGTGAGCCTATCTTAGACTTTATTCAAGGAAATGTAATGTTGGAAATATCCAAAGGGTATGGTTTTGCAGGATTTGAACTAGTATCCAATATTTTGTAGTCCTGTGACATCATGAAATGGCATTAAGAGAACTGCAGTCCTAGAAAATCACACCTGACGTACAAATAATTTATTCTCTTCCTAGAAGATGGAAGTGTTAAATTTGGCAAATGTAGGTGGTACAGATCTCTCTTACCTGTTCTCTTTTGGCTTAGGAAATGTTTGATGCTACTCTGAAAGATCGAGAACTGAGCTTTCAGTCGGCTCCAGGCACTACCATGTTTCTGCATTGGCTAGTGGGAATGGTGTATGTCTTCTACTTTGCTTCCTTCATCCTGTTACTGAGAGAGGTAAGTCCTACCCTACAGCTACTTGACAACTGAATTCCAGAGGGAACAGAGGGAAATGCTAATATTGTACATTTATGAAAAGGACTTTTGCTTTCACTACTAGTCAGGCCTCAGTATGATGATTTCTTAAACCATATTCTCTAGTATTTTATTTTAAGAGGGAATAACTGGTAGGGGACTTTGGTTTGATTGCTTTAAACTGTTTTCAGTTGTTTATCTCAAAAATTAACGAGTTTTAATATTTCTGTCTGTAATCAGTTATGAGTTTGAAAGATGATTAAACTACTGAGGGAAAAAAATAAGAGCACTTGTTTACCTGGTGTCTATTATAGCCAACCTCTGATACAAACTTTTGGAATTTTGTGAGATGTGAGCCTATCTCAGACTTTATTCAAGGAAACGTAATGTTGGAAATATCCAAAGGGTATGGTTTTGCAGGATTGAACATGTAAAATGGTTTTGAAGCAGGTACCTTAAGTATAGAATTATAGTGAGGCTCCTTTATGATTCCAGTTCACTTGCCAGATGGGTGCCTTTACTAATCCTATTTTTGGAATCTGGTTCCGATTTTAAGATGGTGAAAGCAGATTAGTATTTGATGAGTATACATCTTAGCTCAGCCATTCCCCAAGTATTACTGAATGTTTACTATTTGCCAGACACTATGCTATATATTCGGGGGTAGTAGTGAGAAGCAAAGACATGGTTCCTGTTCTCAGTTTTATAGCCTGGGAGTGAATACAGCCATTGAACAAATCAGTTTACTGCACTGGGACTGGTGATGGAGATACTCAGGGCAGGGAGCAGCAGGCTGACAATTTCACCTGGAACAGAACACAAGCACAAAGGCTGAATGCCATTCTCAGTGTCCTTTGCTCTTTGAAAGATTTGAGGAGGAGAGGAGGGATGGTCAGGGGCCAGAGCATTCTCCTGAATCATATTGTATAAGTGAGTAAATTCTGTTTGCAAATAAAGCTTGGTTACAGAGAGAGAGAAGAGGCTGCATCTGGCTTCCATTCTCACAGATATTGCAGTACATTGAGCTCCGTAGGACAGCGCTGGGGCAAGTGAGAGCCTGACGGGCACTGGGTGACTCCATGCCTCTTTGAGGAGAAATAGCTAAACATGGACAAAGGAGATCAAAATGTCATCATATGCATTCTTGTGCAAACTTGTTGGGAGGAGCACAAGAAGCAGCACCCAGATGCTTCAGTCTACTTCTGAGAAGTGCTCACAGAGGTGGAAGACCATGTCTGCTAAAGAGAAAGGAAAGTTTGAAGATATGGCAAAGGCAGACAAGGCCTGTTGTGAAAGAGAAATGAAAACCTGTATCCCTCCTAAAAGGGAAATAAAAAAGTTCAGGGATCACAATGCACCCAAGAGGTGTCCTTTAGCCTGTTTCTTGTTCTGTTCTGAGTATCACCCTAACATCAGAGAACATCCCGGCCTATCCATTGGTGATGTTTCAAAGAAACTGGGAGAGATGTGGAATAACACTGCTGCAGATGATAAGCAGCCTTATGAAAAGAAGGCTACAGAGCTGAAGGAAAAATATGAGAAGGATATTGCTGCATACCAAGCTAAAGGAAAGCCTGATGCAGCAAAAAAGGGAGTTGGCAAGGCTGAAAAAAGCAAGAAAAAGAAGGAAGAGGAGGAAGATGAAGAAGGTGAAAATGAAGAAGATGGTGATGATGAATAAGTTGATTTTAGGGCAGTTTCTTTTTTTCTTGTCTAAAGCATTTAACCTCCCCTGTACACAAAACTCCTTTTAAAGAAAAAAATTGAAATGTAAGGCTGTGTAAGATTTGTTTTTAAACTGTACGGTGTCTTTTTTTGTATAGTTACACTACTGAATGTGTCTTTAGCTAGCCCTCTCCTGGTGGTGTTTTCAGTAGCCACTAACCTTGCCTGGTACAGTATGGGGGTTGTAAATTGGCATGGAAATTTAAAGCAGGTTCTTGTTAGTGCACAACACAGATTAGTTATATATAGGGATGGTAGTTTTTTCATCTTCAGTGGTCTCTGATGCAGCTTATATGAAATAATTGTTCTGTTAAATGAATACCACTCTGTAATTGCAAAAAAAATGTTGCAACTGTTTTGTTGACATTCTAAATGCTTCTAAGTAAATACAGTTTTTTCATTAAGAAAAATAGGGCCGGGCGCGGTGGCTCGCGCCTGTAATCCTAGCACTCTGAGAGGCCGAGGTGGGTGAATTGCTCAAGGTCAGGAGTTCGAGACCAGCCTGAGCAAGAGCGAGACCCCGTGTCTACTAAAAAATAGAAAGAAATGATCTGGACAACTAAAAATATATATATAGAAAAAATTAGCCGGGCATGGTGGCACATGCCTGTGGTCCCAGCTACTCGGGAGGCTGAGGCAGAAGGATTGCTTGAGCCCAGGAGTTTGAGGTTGCTGTGAGCTAGGCTGACGCCACGGCACTCACTCTAGCCCGGGAACAAAGCAAGACTCTGTCTCAAAAAAAAAAAAAAAAAAAAAGCTAACGTCCTTCCTTCAAAAAAAAGAGACCGAGCAAGTACAGTAATGTGTTTTTAAAAGTTGTAATTATATGTGAACTTGAAATTACATTGTTTAGTGATAAACGTTTTATAATGAATTTTTCATTCTATCAATGTGGTTTTTTGTTAATATGGAATCCTGGTATTTGGGAGTTAGAAGCTTAGAGATTATATATTGTAACCCTCTCATTTGGAAGATAGAGAAATAGAGGTTTCGGAAGATTAGCTTCTTTGCTGAGGCTAATTCAGTGAGTTTGGACCACACAGGATTAGTACCCAGACTCCGCCATTACTCTATCACCCATAGCCTCTTGGATGATAATTTTTATTGAGAGGGGGAAAGATAGATGCTTTCTTAAATTAATTAACACCTCTGGGAAGTGTAAGACTGAAGTCAGATCTTCTATTTAGGACATTTATACATTGCAACATAATCTTTTCACCAGGTGATAAACATAGTAACGGTTGTATTTATTTATTTTTTTGTCTCAGAGATCTAGATTTATTGACAAATTGGACTTAATGAATGTTTTTTACAGTGAATGATTAAAAGCATCAAAGTGTCCGGTGGTCACAAGATATCACACATAGGGTGGTTTTCATACAAATTATGGTTTAGGAACTTCTTTTCCCAGGAAAACCATATGAATTTTAGATGGTCAGAATAATTTTAGGTATTTATTTTTCTGTTAATGTTTTAGCTCATATACAGAACTTGAAGACATTTTTGAATATTTATAGTATTTAAAATATATTCGCAGGTACTTCGACCTGGTGTCTTATGGTTTCTGAGGAATTTGAATGATCCAGATTTTAATCCAGTTCAGGAAATGATCCACTTGCCCATTTATAGGCATCTCCGAAGATTTATTTTGTCAGTGGTAAGCAGATCTTTTCATTGTTTTTTGAGTAAAGTGTGCTACCCTTTAGTTTTGTTTCATCAGGAAGGCTGGTAGAGTATATTGAATTACTTACACTTATCTAAGCCGGTGGAACTCAGTTGTCAAGTAGCTATTTTATTGGTAACTTTGTTAAATAAGTGATGGTTAATAAAGATGCCTTCTAGTTCTGTAGTAGTGTAATTGATTGCCAAATTATAGTTCTCTGAATTACATTTAATTTGCATTGAACAAATGGAGACTTGTTACTGCCTTCTAAATTAAATTCTTAACAGAAGCATCCCAAAGTGTCTTCCCCACCTGGAAGAAGAAATTACCTAGTTAAAATCTAAGTTTTTCTAAAATAAAATTTTAAGAGCAAATTATGTCCTTTGGAAACTTGATAGCCATTAACATGGGTCATGTCTAAGATAGTTATAGATGATTCATTAAGTTGCAGGTATTTTTGCTCCTTCATTGTAAGTTTTTAGCTCTCTCCTTACATACCATGTAGTGATTATCCTTTGTGGCTCCTGTTTTAGCCTTTGTGTCCTAGATGGCAGATCTTTACTTTGAAAGGAGCAGCCATTTCAGAAATGCATTTTTATACAAAATGATCCAAGAATATGTGTAGAGTGGGAACATCTGGGCTCTGGGTGGATACAGGCCTGGGCTGCATACTGATCGAGTGTGTTCAGATGTCCACCTGTCTTGCATGGGAGTGATTGACTCTTACAGTGGTGTCATGCACTGTTTCTTTCTGCAGATTGTCTTTGGCTCCATTGTCCTCCTGATGCTTTGGCTTCCTATACGTATAATTAAGAGTCTGCTGCCTAATTTTCTTCCATATAATGTCATGCTCTACAGGTAAGTTTTAAAAATTCAAAATAGCTTTACTAATATATTCTGTTAGGGAATTGATATTCAGATTACATTAAACATTTGAACATTCATTTCTTACAGATATTATTGGAAATATCTGACAGTTAAATTTTGCCATATTGTAGACCATATAAACATTAGTAATTACATTTTCCAATGGAAGACATTTTTCTGCAAATACACTATGCATTTGTCGAGCATTGAAATGTTTTACCATACCTAATGTGAGTGTATTAGTAGCATCATCTTTATTTTGAAAATCACATTATGAGGAATGAAGCCAAAGTTGCATATTTAATTATGGATTAAAAATAGGATACAAGGCTTGTGGATGGAAAATTTTTTTGCTTTAAAAACTTAAGTCACCTAAAAACCTAACCTCTACCACTCATGCTGTATTCCTTTTCTTAGGGATTTGCATTATTCCCAGTCGTTATTGCAACTGCAGACAAATTGGATTTCTTCTTCAAATTTACTTCTAATTAGTCTTTAAGTCTTGTCAGTTCTAATTCCTTAAAATCTCTTACTAATCCAACTTTTGATTTGCCACTTACCTTAATTTAGGCCTTCCTCTTTTTCTCTGCTTATAATCCATCCTTAATATCTCTGCCTCTAGATTTTCTAAAAATTTGTTTTACCCCTTGGTTTAGAAGTTGTCAGAAGTTCCTCTGTAATCTACATAACAATATCCAGGTCATTTAAAATGACATACAGGATTGGCACAGTCGTACTCTGCCTTTCTAACACCTTGTCCCAGCATTGTCTGACTTCTTCTGTCCAGCTGTGCCGTAGTGCCTGGAGTCTCCCCAGAATCAACTCAGCCGTTCTTTGTCTTTCCCTGTTTACAGTGGCCTTCTCCGTGTTTGACTGGCAGGCTGTTGATATTCTTTCCCAAAGTCCAAATTAAGATTTTATTTTCCCTAACTAGAGTGAATCATCATGCCATCCTTTAAAATTGTCTCCATTTTTGTAATATTTACCTCTTTTTATAGCACCTGTTACATTATTTTGTAAATATTTGTTTTATCAAACATGGCAGAAATCATATCTCATTTGGATCCTAATGCTTTGCATAGGAACAGGGTTGTTCAAAAATGAAAGATTTATTGTTGTACACAAAGTAAATTTGTATTTCTTTAAATTAGAATTGGCCAGTAGGTATATCCTGATTCCTTAAAGTGGTAGAAAAGATGCTAGTAAGTAATTTAAAATGTAGCATCAACTTATGGCTCTTTAAATTGTTACTCTTTTGTAATAAAACTTTATTTTTCTACACTTAGGATTTTTGTAGATTTGGAGGATAGTTTTCTGAATTTTACCTTTAGATCATATGTAGTATGTATTTGGGTCCAATCATAATGAGAACCAGTATACACAGGTCTAGCTTTGTATTTTGTCGAGAAAAATCAATTGTGGTAGCACTTATACCTAGAGGTTTTGCAAAGTTTTTGTGCTATCTATTAATAGTAGTATTTAGTTTATTCTTCCGTTCAACAAAATTGAGAGCCCATTATATGCCAGGTACTTTTCTGTGCACTGGGACATAACAGTAAACAAAACAGAACGAAGAAAAAGTCTCTGCTCTCATGGAGCTAACATTTTAGTAGGGGAGACAGACATTAAAATACATAAAATATATAATATGACAAACGCTCATAAGAGCTATGGGGGGAAAAAGTAGAGAAAGGAGATAAAGAGAGTGGTCAGGATGGGATTGCAATTTAGGAAGAGTGACTGGTGAAGACCTGAGAGGGTGACAGTTGAAGAAAGCCTTGAAAGTAGTGACGAGGGGATGAGCCATGTGGAGCGCGTTGCAGAAGGTAGGTGCAGCAGCACCCAGATCTGTTTGAGGAGCTGCAGGGAGGCCAGTTTGGCTGCAGTAGAAGGGGGAAGGCAAAGTAGTTGACCCTGAAGTCATAGAGGTCATGGAAAGCCCCCTAGAGAGCCTCATAGGCTGTTGTAAGCCGTTTGGCTTTTACTTAAGTGAGTTGGAGCTCTTGGAAAGCTTTGAGCAAAGGAGTGATCTAACTTAGGTTTGAAGAGGATCATTCTGGCTGCTATGATGAGAAGAAACTGGGTCAGGGTTACCAGGTCAGGAAATGAAGCCAGCTAGGAGGACAATGCAATGATCTTGGTGAGAGATGAGGGTGGCCAGCGGAGGCCATAAGAAATGGTTAGGGTTTAGCATATTGTTAAGATACGGTTAAAAGAATTCTGTAGCTGTTTGGTGTAAAGAAAGGAGTCAAGGATCAAAGTTTCTGTCTTGAGCACTTGGAAGAATGGAGTTGCCATTTACTGAGTTGGGGATGATTGTGGGAGGAGCAGGATTAAAAGGGAAGATTGGGAATTTGATATTGAACATGCTCAATTTAAGATGTCTAGTACATGTCGATGTGAAATATTGATTTGGTACTTTGAATATACAAGTTAGGAGATAGAAATGTACAGAAAAGTGATATTAAAAGTCACATGAGGGTTACATTCACCCAGAGAGTGAGTGTAGATGAGAGAAGAGAGGCTAGTGCCTGGGGCCCTTTGGCATAGCCAGGTTGGGGGAGTGAAGGAATATCGGACCTTGGAAGTTCTTCAGGGAGAAATTGTTTTGAAGAGGAAGGAGTGACCAGTTGTGTAACATGCTGCTAATGTAACAGATGAGGTGAGAATCAAGACCTGACCATCAATTTAACAAAACAAAGGTCACTGGTGACACTTACCAGAAACAATTTTGGTGGAGTTTGTGGGGAAAGCCTCACTGAGTTCTAGAGAGAGAGCATGGGAGGAGAGGTAATAAGGACAGTGAGTTTATTCAGTTCTTTAAGAAGTTTTATTGTAATCTATTAAATATTTAATATAATATAGTTATAATGGAAAATAGAACTCACATTATAAATCTTTGCTCTTTGTAATTGTCTTAGTGATGCCCCAGTGAGTGAATTGTCCCTCGAGCTTCTTCTGCTTCAAGTTGTCTTGCCAGCATTACTTGAGCAGGGACACACGAGGCAGTGGCTGAAGGGGCTGGTGCGAGCGTGGACTGTGACGGCTGGGTACTTGCTGTGAGTATGGGCGTGCATGTCATTTGTGTCCATTGACTAACCTTTCTAGAAAAAAGTGTGTTCCATGGCCCACTCAAGAAAAATTAGTTTTAATAAGAGACAATATCTGTAGGTGTGTATAATAATTATTTCTAAAATTTAAAAAAATTTTCTTGTCCATCCTTTTACAGAGAATGCATGCATGTTTTTGCCCTTTTATAGGTTTGCTGCTGGTCCAGTTTTTTTTCATATTATATAACACAGGGTAAAAAACATTTTAATGCAGCAAAAAGAAACCCAACTTACTTTATTTAGAGCTCAGAACCTGGTAAATGAGTTCTCCTCAGATTTGGTTTCTCAAACGTTTAGTCAACATGTTGCATTTTTTTTTTTTTTAAGCTTTATATACATATTTAAAAGTTGAATATTTGGAATTAAAAAGGTTTTCAGAAAACATTTGGCATCCTGTAACTATCTTAACATGAAATATGGGTTTGGTTATGTTTGGTTGGACATCTGTCCTTCTCTAACTGCTCTGTCCCCCAATCTCATTTTTGCCTTAACTGATGTATAGTTTGAAGGTTTTAGTTGAGCTATGTGTCACAATAGACATAGCAGTCATCTGTAGAGAAGAAAAGAAGTTTGGTTTTTTTTTTCCACCCTTAAGATCCTTATAATCTAGTGCACTATAAGTATGTACTTACATCTTGTACTTCTAACTACTTACAGGTATACTTGTAACTATTTTGTACGTTGTATGAATTTTTTTCAGTTACTGATTTCTTCTCAGATACTGGCTGAAGAAAACAAAGTAGATTGAATTTATGGGGTATTCTATAAGTTCATTAATATTAAATTTAGAGAAGTTTAAACCAGGCACCAACATTTAGACCATTTGGTAATAATACTGTGTACAGATGCTATGTGTATGTTTTCTACCTTTGTAGTAAATATTAAGAAAATAAGTCTCATGTCTGCTGTTTTGTTTGCTTATTTTTTTGCTGTTTTATTCTGACCGCAAGTGAAATGTTTCACTTACGTAATTTTTGCACAGGGATCTTCATTCCTATTTATTGGGAGATCAGGAAGAAAATGAGAATAGTGCAAATCAACAAGTCAACAATAACCAGCACGCTCGAAATAACAACGCTATTCCTGTAGTGGGGGAAGGCCTGCACGCAGCTCACCAAGCCATACTGCAGCAGGGAGGGCCTGTTGGCTTTCAGCCTTACCGCCGGCCTTTAAATTTTCCACTCAGGGTGGGTACTACACAGACTTAACCAAAAATAGAGTCTTTTTCAAATTTCTGTTGAGGATTGGTACTGTTAGTGTGGTACCACGCGGTCCTCTGTGTAGGCATGTCTTACACATTCCTGACAAGAACCCATGTTTTATTACCTTCATTATGTAACGTAATATATGTAAACGACCAGGTAAGTTTATCAAATTTTAGCAATGAGTCATAGAGTTGGGATTCCATGGGGTCTTGCTCTCTGTTTGAGAGGAAAAAAGACCCTAAAATAAGTAAACTAACATTATTTATATTATTTCAGTTATGTGTCAGGAACCAGAGGAATGGGTATTTTGATATTTTTCTTCCACTTACTCTCCACTAAAATACTGCAAAGTATGGGTGATAATTTCGTGTTTATAGCTGATGAAACTGAAGGCCAGGTTGGTTAAGAAAGTGCCTATTCCATGGTCTTTAAACTAGTAAGTCTTTGTGATTCAAAATTTTGTAAAAAATATAAGCTGATGACTACTATATGATTACAATGAAGTCATCATTCATTTACATTCAGTCCGGTAATATTTTAAATGTCCTCTAATAATGATATGGGCATGTGAGTTAGATCATTTTGAAATTTGGGCAGGTTATTTAACCTCTCAGCTTCAGTTTCTTTTTGGTAAAAACAGTTATCATAATACCTTTGTGTATTACTTGTGGATGAAATGGGTCCAATCATTCAGTCAGGCAGCAATATTTTTGGTGCCTGCGAAGGTACAGAGAGCATATGAACAGTCACTGCCCTGGAAGAGCTTATAGTCTACTTAAAAGATGAGAAAACAAACTGTGGCAGATTTGGGTTCTCATGGTGGGTATTTACGAAGGGTGCTGTGATTGCCTCAATCAGGGGCCACGGGTTCTTGTTGTGGGCCCAAAGGAGTCTCTGTGGAGGAGGTTGTACCTGAACTGTCTTAGAAGTTGAGAGGCCAGTCAGAGAAAACAAAAAAAAAAGGAAAGTGGGAAGGGCATTCCAGGCATATGCCAGCATATGACATTAGACATTGTAGGCTTGGAACTACAAGTAATTGAATTTATTTATATTTGCTGGGGAGAAGGGGAGGGGCGAGAGGAGCAGTGGGAGATGAGGCTTTTGGATGGGCAGGAACCAGATAGTGGAGAGCCTTGAACATCTCTGCACTAGTCATCATTCGCTGAATTGTTCTTCTGCTGCTTTGTCCCCTTGAGGGACAAATCTCTGTTCCTGATGCAGAGGCTTATGCTAGAGGACTTTGCTGCATAACCCTGAGGGAAAACAGCAAGGTCATTTTTTCCCTTATCTCTTAATCTTGAAAGCAGACCTCATAGTTAGTTCCCTTTTTCTTTTTCTCTGGGTCTTTACTCAACCCTCTGAGCAAAAGGTATTTTCTGGCCAGACTAGAGACAGAATCAGTAAAGGTTTCCTCAGGCAGTTAAAGCTGACACAGCCTCTAAGTCTCTTGAGTTTTGTCATCTATTTCAGGCTTCCCACCAGAGCTCTGTGCTCTGGTCTTGTGGAGATGTATGTAGATACAGGTAGAAGGCAAGCTATAGGTGCTGCCTTTCTCCCCAAAGAAACTGTTTCCCTCCTCTCTGTGTGGTATCCTTTTATCTGTACTTCTCAGTGCAGGAGCCCTAGCTTATGTGGCTATTTACATTTGAATTTAAATAAAATCAAAAATTCCATTACTCATTCTCACTAACCATATGTCAAATGCTCAGTAGCCACATGTAGCTAGTGGCTACTGTGTTGGACAGCGTGGATCCAGGCATTTCTGTCATCACAGGACATTCTAATTGGATAACACTATTTGATTAAAAGGTGAATATTTTTAATTTGTAATGTTTTGTTTTAATTAATAATGGAATATTAAAGCTGAAAATGTTTTATTTTAATGCTCCCTGATTAAAAACATATTTGTTGCTTGTGGGTGTATTTGATTATGTGAGAATGGACACTTATTTTCCTTTTGGTCTAAATTATAGGTAACTTAAAATAAAAATTTCCTTTTTATGTGAAATCGAAGAAAACCTGGAAATAAAAATATAGACAATTTCTTTTTAATGGGAGAGCTGTGTTGTTTTGGAGGTTATCATAAAATATATTGAGCACACATGAACCATTTATGTGTTCTTTGTTTTACCTTGCAGATATTTCTGTTGATTGTCTTCATGTGTATAACATTACTGATTGCCAGCCTCATCTGCCTTACTTTACCAGGTATGAGCTTGTCCTAGCTTTCAGCTGATAGCATCTTTAAGATTCTTTTTTTTTTTAAAGTTACATCTTGCTGAGATGTAATTTCTTTTTCATTAGATATAAACTTGAAATAGTTTTCCTCTCATGTTTGATTGAATATGGGATATTGATCGATTTAGGACTCTCCATCTTACTGGACTAGTTTATATTGGAGCACAGGAGGACAAAGTCAAGATATAATTTATGATTTGATTTTAGAAAAAGTACTTATAGTCATTCATTTTACATGGATATTGTCTTATCACAAGACTCATTTTCAAAAAATCATCTATGATTTAAGTCATTTCTTCAAGCCAGTCTTTTGATGTTAATTATGTTTGTTCTCACTATGTTCTTTCCAATCCATTGCATACTGTTGCTAGAGAACATTGTGAAGCCAGACTGTTTCCCTTTATTGTTTGGTATTCCCAAATACTAATCTTCTATGGCATTGAGTTTCCACTGAAGTATGGCATATGGCAACTTCAACTAAATGTTTCTTCATCTAACAAGTAACATGCTGTGGATGAATATAGTTGTATACAGTGGCTTGTCATCTTCTCCAGAGGGCAGGGATAAATAGGGGTAGAGTCCAAAGCCAGTGGCAAAGTGGCAAAAACAGCTGTTTCTCCCCTGCCTCGTCTTTACTGTTCATATCTAGCCAGAAAATTCTAGATGATAGTAATATGCATCAGCCACTTAAATAATCATTAAGTGGAAGATAATTTTCAGCTCCTATCAAATGTAAATGCATATTGAGTTAATGTTTTGATTATAACACTAACTTAATGAATTTTATAAGTCAAATCTTTATTGAGGGATAAAGCTGGGAAAGAGCAGCTAGAAAAATTAATTTCAATTGTTATTTCTGAAAAACATTTTCTAATTTGTAGGAATTGTGGTTTTACCTTAAACTGGTTAAAATAAGGATTATTTTTTTCCTGCATAATGATTTTTGACCTTTAGGACTTTGCTCTTAAGCTAACTACTGTTTAAATCACAGCTGTTAAAATGACACTCTGGTTAACCATTTTAATGCAATGCAGTAAACATATTGCTGAGAAAACTTAGTTTTTGAACTTAGGATAGTTTTACATTTGTGGTTTTTATGTTCCATTTTCATGTTTTATCAGAAATATTTAACAAAACAAAAAACTTAGTGTTTTTTGTTTGTTTTTATAAGAGGGTCTCACTATGTCACCCAGGCTGGAGTGCAGTGGTGCAATCATAGCTCACTGCAGCCTTAGGTGCATCCTCCCGACTCAGCCTTCAAAGTAGCTAGAACTATAGGTGCATGTCACTGTGCCCAGATAAATTTTTATTTTTTATTTTTGTAGAGGAGAGGGTTTTCATTATGTTGCCCAGGCTGGTCTTGAATTCCTGGGCTCAAGCAATCCTCCTGCCTAGGCCTCTCAGAGTGCTGGGATTACAAGTGTGAGCTGCCACGCCTGGCCAGTAAACATAGTTTTAGTACTTGAATGTGGCAAAAGAGTCATTTAGTTCCATTAAACATTGTTAAGTGAATATTTTCCCAGTTCTACCATCTAGTGGAAACAATGCAGTTATTTTTAATTATAGAATGTTGAGACTCATACTATACATTTGGGGTCACGAGGATGCTATTTCTTCCCCATAGGGTACTTTTCTGGAACTACAGTTCAATTGATGTTGAGTTACTGCAAACTAAAAACTAACCCTGTCTTCTGAAAAACACTTTTTTGACTAGAAGTAAGTCAAGTGTAGAATAGAAAGTGGTCATTAAATTTAAAACAAATGAAAAATCCCCCAAACCAAAAAACATAAACTCTAGAGTAGAAATGTGTGTAGAACACTAGACATTTCTATAGAAGTTTAAGTTATGATTTTGATATCTTGAAATAAGGATGCACATGTTTATTTCATGTAATATATTTATGTATTTGTCTTTAAAAGAGTTACTTTTACACCCAGGCTATTTTGTGATTCTGTAGGAAGTCCATGGTTATCAGCATACGCCCTCTAAGACTTGACTATTGAGCTGCTTTAGTTTATTTGGAGGTAGTGTGGTTCAGTGGTCAAGAGCATGAGCTTTGTCAGGTAGACATGCCTTCAAACTCAACTCCACTCTGTATGACTTTGGGCTGAGTTCTTTTGCTGAGCCTTAATTCATAATCTTTTAAAATGGAGGTCATATCTACATTGAAGGGGCAGGGTTGTTGGAGGGATGAATGAGATAATGTGTAAAAATGCTCAGTATAGCCACTAGTTCTTTTTAGGTATTCAAAAATAGTAACACTGTATTAAGAAGGCAGTTCATAGGGGAAAAATACACTAGAAAATTGGGTCTTGCTGTTCTTTCTAGCCTTACTGAGAAGTAAGCATGTAAAGAAAGTTACTAAATTATATAAATGATCTTTCTTGCCGGAGAGATTGTTGTGAATACACTTGTAGAATTTATTTCTAACAACTTTTTTTTGTGAGGCATTGCCTTGGCTCTCAAATCAGTTTATTACATTCCAGTATATTTATATGGTCTTAATTTTTTTCTAAGAAAATTGTGGTATTCTTTGATGATTGTGCTTTAAAACTTTATTGTACCCCACTCCTTCAGTTTTCTGTCTTGCCGAATGAGCCAGTTGGAAGAAAATTACTCTACATTATTTGTAATGTTCACAGCACAAATACTAGAAAAGAAATTCTCCCCCTTTGTCCTCTTTGTGCATAATGAATTCATTTGATGATAAAAACAACAAAAACAAGAATGTCCCCAAAAGCTTTTTCAGGCGAAAAGAACAAGTAATTGGCAAGGCAAATCAGAGTGCATATCCCAGGGGAGTTAATCCCCATTGACTACTGTGTTTTGGTTGTGTCTTAATCAAATAATGTGCACTGTTTAGAATTTGTGGTTTTTGTCTTTTGTTTTATATTTGATGAAGACATTAATATATAAAAAGGTGTTACCTTTCTCCTAATGTGAAAATACTAATAGAAGAGTATCAAGATCACCATTCTCTTTACCTAGTCGCATGTCTCATTTATCAGCCTTTCTATTTTCAGTATTTGCTGGCCGTTGGTTAATGTCATTTTGGACGGGAACTGCCAAAATCCATGAGCTCTACACAGCTGCTTGTGGTCTCTATGTTTGTTGGCTAACCATAAGAGCCGTGACAGTGCTGGTGGCATGGATGCCCCAGGGACGCAGAGTGATCTTCCAGAAAGTTAAAGAGTGGTCCCTCATGGTAGGTTTTTATAATAAAAGACGGAACTTGTCTTTTAGGAGTAGTGAATATTTTTTTCCAGTCATTTTTGAAAATCTTTTTTATTCACTTGCATCTGTTTCCTCGTTTTGTTGATAGTGTCAGGAGAGGTTTTTTTTTGAAGGAATATTCCTTTAAGAGATGGTAGCTTTCTGATTGATTCTGAGATCCACAATCCTACATTCAAATGAATTTGACAGTTGAAAAACATGCTACTAAGTGATCCAGTAAGGCCCTTGAATGAGTAATTAATTAAGAATTAGAAAAACTTATATTTGGAGATTGATTGCATTTTTAAGGAGTGAGCTATTCTGTAGAATTTAAAATCAAATTTGTTTAAGTAGAATTTTCCTTTATAGGTATTTTTTTCTAAAATTTGATTTTTTTGATCTATTTGAATATATAAAATCTTGACTTCAGGATCTTTAGTCAGTGTTTTGGGGATAATATTATATATGGGATTTCTTTATAGTCTTGCTAATTCAAGAATGTTTTGGCTAATATGAAAGTGTAATAAGTAATGAAAGTTATTGCTCTCAATAAAGAACTTGGTTACCACAAACGTAGGATTAAAAAAAACTCCGCTAAGATGATTATCCAAGTGTGGTGATTTATGTATGTATGTAATGTTGGCTACAGCTGGTAAATATGTTTAGGCCCCTGTATATGCCTTTTCATTTGTGTAATTGACTCTAGTTTTGTATCTGAATTTATGAGAAGTTTAATATCTATTTATTATTAGTGTTGAAGAAAAACCTAAAATCCATTTTTATAGTCAGAGATTGTATGTTATGAGTGGAGGGGTTTAATTGCTATTTAATCCATAAGATAATGAGACACTTTATTTAAAATACAGAAACCAACTAATGCAGATTTTCATTTGATATTTTTTCATATCATCATAAATTGTTTTGTAAAGAAGCAAGTACTGTGTCTTCTGTGCACACCATATTTAGTCTCTTGTTGAAACAGGTGTACTCACTAAAGCTACCTGAAGAAAAAGAGAGGTCTTCAGAATCCAAGGCCACTTTAAAGACTGATTTCTTTGTCAGGATTTTGTAGTTACTCTTTGGTAATATCTCCTTTTCTCTTTGTGTCAACTTTATTCTCGTTTATCCATCTAGTCCAAATTCTAGAGCTGTACTTTCTAATACTCTAGCCATGTGGCTTAAATGGCTACCGTATTGGACAAATGGATATAGGCATTTCTATCATCATGGTAAGTTCTATTGGATCGCCCTGTTCTAGAGGGAGGCCAGTTTGATCAGCTTTATTAACTACTTTAATTAGAATTGTGCAGAGCCCTTCCCCTGTACCAATCCATCTCACAGGTCGCAGATCAGCCTATAAGGTAGGCCACTGTTGGATCAGGACCTTGGCCAATTAGTGGCTTTTCTTGGACAAACAAAAGCCTAGTCCTGAGAATGAGGTTGTGAGAAAAACAGCCTAGCCACCTAGTTAATATACATAGTAAAATGAATTTTCTGTAATGTTCCCTTTTGTACTAGCAATACATAGTAATTTTTAGGTTTTCATTAGTGTTTGAACCCTTACAGTCAGATATTTAAGAAATCTCATTTAAACATAGAACATAAAGTGTAAGTTGTCTCAGTAATGTAGTTGGCCCTCCATATCCCCGGGTCAAAAATTCAAATGAAAGAAAACACAATAAAAAATAACAATCAGGAATAAAAAAACAAAACAAAACCAAAACAGTATAGCAATTATTTGCCTAGCATTTACGTTTATTAGGTATTTTAAGTGATCTATAGATTTAAATTATACAGGAGGATGTGTGTAGGTTATACGCAAACACTACACCATTTTATATGAGACTTGAGCACTTGCAGATTTTGGTATCCATAGGGGTCCTGGAACCAGTCCCCTGCAGATACCAAGGGCTGACTGTATAGTATAAATGGTTCTGTTAGGCATCAAGTCAAAGAAGAAAAATAAACCTCAAAATGGAATAAAGAGTTTGGCTTAAATTCAGAAAGATTCTCTTTAATGACATGGTCCCTTGTTTCCTAATAGATAATGAAGACTTTGATAGTTGCAGTGCTGCTGGCTGGAGTAGTCCCTCTCCTTCTGGGGCTTTTGTTTGAGCTGGTTATTGTTGCTCCCCTGAGGGTTCCCCTGGACCAGACTCCTCTTTTTTATCCATGGCAGGTAAATGCATGTCTTTTGCTCATGATATCTCGTTAAGGATTTGGGATCAGAAAATAATCCTTAATTATTTTAAGTGATTTTAAGCCATTGGTTTAGAAAGACTCCTTAATTGTTTTTTCTATTCCAGGGACTCTTGTAAAATGGTTTAATGCCCTTTAATCTGTTGCTTCTAATATATGCTTCTTTTAACTCCTTTAAAAGAGCTTACTTTACAGGTTAAAATATCACTGTCTATCATTTAGGCTTCTCCAGTGTTGAAAGATACAAACTAATATGTGTTGATTTTTTTGGTTTCTTTTTTTTTTACCTTTGAGGTAGAATGAAGTATCTTTCTCCTTCTGACTTTAAGACTCTAATACTTTTGAATAATTACAGCGTATTTTCCCACAAAGTCACAGCTCATTAAAAAGCATCCTGGGGAGACCCACGAAGGTCACAGCAAAGGTCTTAAAACTCACAGAAAAAGAAATTTAACTTTTCTATTGTATTTGTAACCTGAGGTTTTTAACATAAAATTAAGATCTCGAATTCTT